TTCTTAAAGCGCATCCGTAAGAATTGGCTAGAATGTAGTGAGAAATACTTGATCTTTGAAGTTTCATTTATCTATATTGGAGATGAAATGTCCAAGAAACGCCTTGATAAAAGCAAGGTGTTACTTCATTTGAAGTGGATTGAATGCATAGGTACTGACGGCATTTCTAAGGTAGACTTGACCTTTTGGCAACAGAATCAAATTCATCGACTGTAAGTTACGATATTTTAAAGTGTTTTAGCATGCATGAACTGCTTTTTGTCTTAAGGAGCACACTTCTTGTAGAATCGGCTACATGACGAGGTAATAAACACCAAATAGAACGTAACTAGTCTTAACCTCCAAGACAAGTTTTTGAGAACATGGCAAATATATCTGACAAGCATGCAGATTGCTAACATGACAACTATAGATAGTTTATCATAATAGATCTATCTTTTTAGTTTTCTAATCTACCATTTTAAAAATACTGAAAGTATTTAAATTTAAAGTAGTATAAATAGATATTTTCTTCAAAATAGTATGATTAGATATGTAAAGATTGAATATGATCTGTCTACTTTATATATAATATGATTTATTAAGGATTGTAAATTTTTTTATATACCTACATCACAATAATTTTTTATAATTAATAATATGTTATTTTATCTTTATAATTGAATAAATATATAATTTTCCAAATAATTTAAAATATTACATATATATGATTATTTATAGTTCATTAATCTGACATTTGTGATAATATTTATAGTAACATATCTTGACAAGACTTCAATTCTAAAATATATGTTTATAATAATGTATATTGGTTATATCAAGATGAATATTTTCTAGAATTTTTTTTGATAATGAAATCAAACAATCACATGTATAACATTCACTCACATGTGAAGAATATGTAAATACAAAGAACGAGAATACAATAAACACGGAGACACTTATTCATATTTACAGAATATGTCGAATCAAAATAAACATGATTTGTCACTCTCGGACTATGTTCATAAAACAAAAAAGTTTCTATTGAAATCTACTCATGTTGAATGAGACATATGATTGGTAGTTCTATATATAGTAGATAACATAAGTCATAATTCAAAGTTTGATTTAACCTAAATCTAATCATAACTAGAATTAACTTGAAGCTAACGTTAATCCTACCAATATTTTTTTTAACTCATGTCGTGGAAACAATAAACTTCATAATCGATATAATTATTATACAGAAAATTCTTCAAAGAAACCTACCATAGTATACTTTATAAATTAAAACTAACTCTAAAAAAGCCATGACACAAACATGATAGAGTAAATATATATAGAGTTAACAAAAGTTGCTAGTAAACGCTACTTGTGCTGCTCATGTGAAACATGTACAGTAGCACAATGTCTGATGAAAGTTTCTAAATGAATATCAATGAATCAAAGGGACTGAATTTACCATCAATTTGAATTTTCTCAACTCCTTTATCTGCATAGTATTTAATAAATTGATATTCAATGTTAATGTGTTTCAATATTGTTCATCATTTGATTTGCAACAAGACGTATCACATTTTGATTATCATAATGAAAATTGATGAGTTAGAGTTTAATCCCAACTTAGTGATAAACATATTCAACCAAATTTTTTTCTTTGCTAATTCTGCTACCAGTACATGTTCAACTTACGTTGTGAACAAAGCTACACATTTATGCAAAATAGATATTTCAACTAATGCATTTGTCATCAAGTGTAAATACATACACAGTTGTAAATTTTCCCTTGTATAGATTTTGTTCATAGAAAACATCAACGTAGCCTAACCAAGATTTGGCTTTGTTTAATAAATTAATATTCCATAACTTTCATTTCAAGCATATAAATTTTCATTTCACTACAACCTAATGTATTTTTACTACATTTTTTACCTAAATTTGATTAATTTATTCAAAACTAGAGCAATATCAAGTCTCATGCATACCATCAAATACATGATGTTGGCCATAGCTTTGTCATAAGAAATTGATGATATCTTTTACTTCTCAATGACCTTGATTGACATTGACATGCAAAAATTTTGAAGTGTGTTGCCAAATATATACATAATACTTTGGAATTTTTCATGTTAAACGTGTGGAGCACTCTTTAAATATATTTGTTTTGATTCAACCATATATATTTAATTTGTTTAAATCTTTCATATAAAATGCAAATTTCAATCAAATCTAATTTCAGTTTACGACATATTTGTTTTTTCCAAAATGAATATTTAAAACTAGAATAATGAAATTGATTATTGATTATCAAATTTTTCATGTATACGTATGGTTCATACACACAGTTTGAAAATCCTTGTGCTTTCATGAACTTTTCACATCTCACAAATTATTGACAAAAATCTTGTTTCAATTTATATAAAAAATTTAGCAATCTATAAATCAATTTATCTTGACATTTTTTTCCAAAAACTACTAGTTTTTTCAAGTAGATTAAATTGCTATAGATCTATCAAAAGATGATGTAACTACATCAAGTTGATTTATAACCAGATTAAATGTTACAACAAGTGCACATACTAGCAAATTGTAGCACACTTTGGTACATGTCAAATTATATTGTTTTAGTTTACATTTATATCTTGTGTGAAACCTCTAACCAAAAACTTGACTTTAAAAATTTAACTCTTACCATTTGCACATGTGATTGTCTTTCATCTTGTACATCCATTTGCAATCAATCAAAGTTTAATTTCTTGAAAGCTCAATAATCTATCATGAATTGTTATCTATCATTGATTGCATATCAATTTAACAAGTTTAGAACTAAGATATTGTATCAATCATCAATACCCTAAACATGTTATAATTATTTTTCATTTTGATCAAATTTGCAAATATTAGATGATTTGTAAGCGTTAATTTTTATTAATATTTTCTATTTTAAATGAATTTTATTTTTATACTAATATAATCATATTTTAAGTTTTTCTGTCTAAAATTAAATTTTGAAAGCAACTTAGAAAATATTTCGAATATGGATTACATAAAATATCTGATGTTTCAAAAGACATTGCAAGATGTAAATTAGATAATTGATTTTTCAATCAAAATATTTGATAAATTTTGTTTTTTCAAATTTCATGCAAGTGAAATAATATGTTTAAAAAATTATTTCTTAAATTATGAGTTTTATCTTGAAGAAGATTATAATTAGCTTAAAATAAAATTACATTGAAACTAATTAAAAGCAATTGGCAATCAACTATATTTTAACCGTTTGAATGTGTAAATATGTTTTATTTCAATTGAAATAAAAAAATTTCGATTAAAAAATTTTCAATGATAGTATCATTTTACTATGAAAATATTTTGATAATTATATGTTTAATGTTAATGCTATGTTATGAAATTTCTATTTAACATATTAATATATGTGAAACAACCTAAATGTGTTTTCAATATTTTAACACAAACAATCATTTATTTTATCAATTTTGAAAAGTAAAGGATATTTCATTCATTTCATTATAAATAATATAAAAATAAAAGGAAATAAAAATCTTTTGATTTATTTAAATTTCATAAATCCATAATTATCGTTGAAATGTCTACAATGATTTATTATAAATTTATGGGAATGTTAAAACGACCGCACAAATTGTTAAAATGACCTCTTTGAGACTAGAGATTCGTCTCGCAGTCACATGACTTGTAAAAAAATAAAATTTCTGTGAAAAAAATAGAGTCAGAGGTGATACTTCCATGGATCCAGCCATTGCCTTGCAAGAAAGTATTGACCTGCTCTCTCGCAACTTCAATATGTAAGCCCTCTTTACCCTTGCTGGAAAGGGTTGTTTTTGTAGTATATGATGTCCCTAGCAACGTGGACATCAAATACTACAAATGCAATCATTACTATGCTTTTGAGGTCTTGTCAAGGGATTTGGTCGCAGTGCTTGCATCATTGTGTTCCTTGGCATCCACACCGCGAGACGCGTCCTTAGTCTAAATGTGGTAGTTTTAACATTCTCGTAAATTTATAAAAATATAAAGAGATAATATTTGTGATTTGATATACATAGTTGACTTGGAAATTATCTTTCCAAATATGTAATTATTCTATTTAAGAAAATGATGACATTGTCATCATTAAAATTTTCTACATTGATAGGATGAAAATGAATAAATAAATAAATTTTTTTTTTTTCAATTTAAAGTTTGGATTTGGTAATCGATTTTACACTAACTCTTCATAAATTCCAAAATCGCGTTAAACGTCTTTTGTTGATGTAATGATTTTCGTTCATATAATTTAATTCCTAAAAAAATAATTTGATAAGAATAATAAAGTTAACCGTGTTTCATTAATTAAACTTTCTTATAAAATGAATAACATACCAAAAAATGATGATACATCATTCAAATTATATTTAACATAGAAAATAATATAAAAATCATTATGAAAAAATAAAACAAATGTATCTCAGTTATAACATAAACATTCGATTATCCCGAAGTTTATGAGTTTACGAGTCAAAGGTAAAGAGTTTCCTTATACATGAACCTAATTCCGAATGGAAGTTTATGAATCTCACATCATGATGCTCATCATGTCAGACCGTGCAGTCACGGTACCGGCAGGTACATGGCGGGAAAATACAACTGCCTATTGGTCCGTGGTACGGGAGACATCCCTTTGATCTCGCCACTACGGATAAGTAGAGTTCGTAGTCGCGATTTCCCAAGTTGGCGGTATAGCTACGTTCTCCCACCGAGGAATTGTAGAGTGTAGACGTCTCTAATTGTAGACGTAAGGATCCCAGCTCCTAGAGGCCTTTGGACAGGGTGTCTGTCTTGTCTGAGCGCGCCGTCATTAGAGTCTTTGTCCCGATGAATCGGACGGACTCCAGTACCGCGTAATTTCCATGCGATGCGTGACCGGTGATCGCGGCTGCGCCGCACTTCTTCGAATTTCTGTCGGAATTATGTCTGCCACAGCCGCCGTTTCTCCTGTTGTCATGGTCGTTGATAGATCCCCTTCTCCCGTCTACTGCTCGTTCGTCCTGTCGGTAGTATCGTCGACCTCGCCCGGTAACTGGAACGCCATCTCTTCAACCTTTTCGCAAGTCTGTTTGCTATTTCCCCTCGAACGCAAGTCCAGAATTCACCGCAATGCACAAAACAAAATAACACACACGGCGAATGGAAGCGAAGTTTGCGCACGCTTTTCATGTCATGGGATCGGGATTCTTCTCATCTGTCGACGTCAAGAAGTCTTTCCTGAATAATATTGAAAAGTCCCCTTTGTTTTGAATTTCTGTGAATCTGACCTGCCGAGAAAGTTTCCATGGTGTCAGTATCGGGCCACGACAAGAAACTTATTTTCTCTTTTCGACCTATCACAAGAGGACTTAAACGTTGGACATATATCGGCTCTGTTCACTGTACTTCGCCTGCAACAGGAAATTGGAGAAATATCCACTTGGGGAAATAGTTTATGTAATGACATGTCACCTGTTGGTTGTATGATTTAACATATTCAGATAGTGTAAGCGATGAGTGTGAAGAGCAAAAGCGATAGCGTCACAAAAGTCCTTGGGCGAAATGAATACAGAATGAGTTAGTAATATTGAATACATGATAAGTTAGTTCTAGCGATTGGGTTAACAACTGGTTTTTTATAACCTTTGAATGTGGTTAAGGGGGATGATCTGGTTGACCATACAATATATGGGGATATATGGTAGAAGTTACTACCCAAAAAGACTGGTTAAATGGCCAATTTAATCATCTATGCATCAAATCCAGGAACATGAGAATTAGCGTAATGCAGGCGATTGCAGTTATGTTCGTGAGAATAAATTGCATGCAGAATGTAAGTACGGACCAAACTGGATATATAAGGATTCTCAACATCATTTCCTTATTCCGATGTTTTCACAATTACCTGCTCCTAGGCTTGGAGGCACTGTCATATGTAGTTCAGGATGACAATGGCTGCTCCTCCTTTTGAATAATGCGGACCGTATGTTTGTGGATGTGACTAGAAAATTCCAATTTACTTCAGGATTTAAGACTTCGATGCAAGTTCTAGAGGATACTCATTTGGGACAGGCATAAGACAAACCGAAGTGACGATATAGTAATAAAAAATAATAATACAAAGAAGCAAGTAATAACCTGATGAACCTGCGGGAGATGTAAAGATGAGAATCTGGAAAAATGCAAAGTGGTGGATGTTCCTCAGCTGTCGGACAGATGTAAGTCGTAACTAATTCACACTTTTCAAACAAGTCCGTTAATGACATCAACATATATCCGGAAAAACAAGAAAAAGGCGATGAGATCGAACAACCGGAGCCAATGGTCGAATCAAAACTCAGACCAGACCTTCTACGCCCTCCCCTAGGGCGACCGGTGAAGAAGAATCTGCAGGCAAAAAATCGGCCCGGGCTACGCAACATGAATCTCCAGGAATTGGTTAGCAGTCGAGTGCCCCCTGTAGCCATCATTAATCCCGTCTTTCCTCCTTGGCTGCTACCGGCAGAGCAGATCGATAGGACAAAAGCGCAGTACTGCGATAGAGTATAATAGAGTAGAGTAGATTATAGATTGAGGTGGGCAGAGTAGAGTAGAGTACAACATACGGTACCAGCTTAGTGTAGTGGAAAGCAGAGAAAGACAAGGAAAGGGACAGAGGGTGAGCATAAGGGACGACGTAAGGTGGAAGGTGGCGGTGGAAGTTAGCGTGGCTGCCTAAAGAGGAAGGCTGCGGGAAGGCTGCGAAGGGTCCCTGCTACTATTTCTCCTACGTCTACAGCAGTACTTGCTGGTACTTGAGCCGAGGGAGCGAGCAACGGGGCACAACTCATAACTCAACTCGTCCTGATCTGGTGCGGCACTCATAGTGTCGCAGTCTGTCTGGTCTGCAGCTGCTAGTTGCTGCAGAGCGGATCGCCCTTCGCTCTACGCTGATTCTACTGTCTCCTCCCCTCTCCTCTCCCCTTTCTCATCCATCCCCTGCCGAGCTGTAGCAGCCGCAGCAGGAGGCTCAGCCAGCCCCCTTCCCCCAGAGAAATCGCGTCGACATGCGTTGAGTGAATACCGCAGACAACAGATCGAAACACAGTCAGTGCAGTCGACTGGAGTCAAGTTGAGTTGTGCCCTCCCTCCCTGGCTCACTTCCGTGACCTCATCTGTACAACGTGCTCAACCTCCAGAGTGAGCGAGCGAGAGAGAAGAGGGAGAGAGAGCAAGCGTGAAAGCATCGTGGCCTGGCGGGATCCCGGCTCACATCAGCCAGCAGGTTGGTCTGGTTTGCAACATCAATCAAACGAGTGTAAGTAGTGAGATTTACAGCTGAGCTGGTTGTCGAGCAGGCAACGGCAGGAGACAGAGACTCAGAGAGAGAGATTGCGTGAGCTCAGTCTTGGGGCTGTGCTGCCTCTTTATTGCGTTGTTGTGGACGAGGCATCGGGTGGAGCGAGGAGGAGCTTGAGCTAGAAGCTACTGCGAGGCTTCGGAAGAGGGGGAGGGGCGCAAGTAGCTTGCTGCTGGGGCTGCGGTCGGTGGGCGTGATTTGGGGGCAGGTCGTTAGACCGGCGAAGATGGTACATGTCGAGACGGTGTTCGAAGACAGGACGATAATCTAGATTCGGAGAAGAACTCGACGTCGTTTCAAGAATCCGAAGTATCGTTCGCTCTTTTCGCAACATAGCTAGACGGCTCGGTGGAATTACGGTAACTCTTCAGCATATCATGTCTTTCGATCATGGACCCTGTTGCTGGTCTGCTCTGCTCCTCACTAGACCCTAGTTCCTCATTCCCTGCCTAAAGAGTCATCTTTCTATCACGCCGTCGTCTTCGTTTCGTGATGCTCCTTCACTTCGTGTCGACTCTTCGATAATCACCTCACTGCCATCTTAGCTAGATTTTCTTCACATGCTTCCTCTCTTGCACGAGAGCCGCTGCTAGGTAATGTCGATTAGCTCTTGCATCGTCCTCCTCGTCAACGCTTCGAAGAACTCGCAGGGCTGCCAGCGTCTGCTTTTGGACAGGTCTTTCCTCGAAACGACGGGAGGTCCCCTGAACTTCAATCCGTGACTCACGATTCTGGACCTCGTTCGACGTGCCCACGCATGTAATTGTTCGCCCCATGAGAACGAGCAAGAGCAGTGTCTGGTCTTCGAAAAGGAGTCTTCCTTTTGTCTGTACTTTCCCTAATGTCGAGGCTTGACAGAATCCTGATTGCCTGAGGCAGGAAAGATACGGAGATGGCCATTGGTCGAGAATTTCCGTACTCTCGGAGAAATGGCAGACGCGCCGTCTTATGCTTCCTGCGCTTTTCTGAATGGCCAGGCATTTATTGAACGGCAGAACGGCTCCAGTCGGACTTACAGTGCAATCCGGTGTCGTGTGAATCAGGTCGTGAAAGGTCTCAATTGAAATTCTGCGTGGGGATTTTTCCGTGGATTGAAGGAAGCGATGAAAATGTTGCGGAGGAGTGCGGGGGCAGTGTTGGCGCTTTCGAATTTTCTTCTGGTCATGGTGGCGGGCTTGGTGGACAACAAGAGAGGCGAGGTTTTCGCAGTGGGAGGTGCTGCAGGGTGGAGGGTGCCGCAGAGCGGCAAGGTGAACTACACCGAGTGGGCGTCCATGCTGTCGACTCTGAATGTGGGCGACACACTACGTAAGATATCTCAATGATCAGTCTCGCCTCCCGACCGCACGCGCGTCGTTCTTACTCCAGTCCTACTGCTGCTGTGATTTCTTGCAATGCTTGATCATCATTCTTGTCTTTCCCTTCTCCGCTTCGGTCCTCGATTAATAATTTGCCTCCTGACGATGGGCGGCCCTGTTTTTTCTGTGGCGATGGCGGCAGTGTTCACGTATCCGACGGGGGAGCACAACGTGGTGCAAGTGGGCGAGGAGGACTTCGGCAGATGCAAGGCCATAAGCCCCATCGCGACATACACGGACGGGCAAACTCTGGTGAATCTGCCCAAGGAAGGGCGATACCACTTCATGTGCAGCTTCCCGAGGCATTGTCTTCTAGGTCAAAAGTTCATGGTCGACGTGGTGGTCCCGTCGTTCCGAGCTCCAGCTCCAGCCCCGCTGTCCGGAAACTCCGACCCGCACATCGGAGGCCCGAAGAACAGCCCCATGCCCAACGCCGCGTCCGGCCCGGACTCTGCCTTCGCGCCCGTGGCCTCTTTGAGCATCTCCCCCGCGCCGTCGGCGTTTGGTCCCTCGGCTCCTAATCCCGACAACTCTGCTCGGGCGATGCGAGTGCGAGTGCTCGCTCTGGCTGTGTTCTCTCTCATGAGCTTCTTTTTCATCTAATCCGAATCTAAGTGCCACGATCGAAATCTACGAAGGGACTGATTGATTGCCCTCGGCCTAGAGTCTAATCCATCGATCCCACCTCGCTCAGGTCTCGGTAACGAAGCCTATTTTTGACCCCTGTAGCTCTAGATACTTAAATAATACCTAGTTTTTAAGCTTCGGCCAGGAAACGTCGAAGAACTCAAATGTATGATAGTTTTGAGAAGGAAGTTAATCACACGCGTGTGAAATCATCCCCGATGACAATGTACTCACATTCTTTAGGATACCCACCTATTTTGAGAGCTGGGTGACAAACACTGTCAGCAATTTTCAATCAAGAGCTTTATCTTTCACTCGACCTTCCCTGTTGGGTTCTTGTCGGTGCACTGCTTTTGTCTCGACTCGACGGTGCTTGCGTGTGTTTAAGTGCGCTGCTTAAGTTTAAGCGAAGCTGGTGAGGTCGGCTTGAAGGTTTCCAACGCCGGACATCGAACATTGTGTCATCGTTAAGTCGGACGTGGGAAATTGTTGATCACTGAAACGATTTTACTTGCATGTAGTTGAATGGCTGGAATGTACTGAATAAACTTGTGTGTGATGACACCAGCCAAATTTCTGCACCGCCTCAAAGCAGTCAGTTTATGTAGTCTGAAGTGCAATTTCTTGTCGGGACTTTAGAAATTGTGAATAAGATTGTGATATGTTTCGATTATATAAGACTAAGTAAAACTGTTCTCTTTGTTTAGAAAGTGAAGTGAATGTAATATCGGACGATTTGGTGCTGCCGATCGGAAGGGCGATAAGTCGCTGCTTGTGCCTTGAGGAAAATCTGACGAAAGCAATCGAATCGCAGCAATGACGTCGTCGCTTAGTCGCTACAGAGTCCAAAGTCAGCAGTCAAAAGGATGGAGACTTGCCGATACATCAGCATTGACCTTCAGTGGAAAGTTAGCGAGTGGTATCCGAGAAGTGAACGGGTGAATGTCATGATATCTTGGACTCGTCCGGTGCGGCGAGCAGGCAGACAATAAGAGCCTGAAGTCCTTGAAAAGCTTACTTGATACGCGTGAGCGACTGGAAACTGCAACTGCGTCAGATGCGGAAGTACGTGTGGATCTAAAGATCCGTTGAGAGAAAACCAGGGAGAAAACGAGGCGACGTCCGGAGGAAAGAACGCCTACTACAACTGTCAACCACTCGAGATCTTGAGTCGTACAACCTGTTAGGAAATGTGAGGTGAAGCATAGTAGCGGAATGTGAGGTGAAGCGTAGTGGAATTGGAGAAGCCTTAAAGCATAAGAACTTCTGAAGGACATATACAATGATGCCGAACGTCGGATCGATGTGTTGAGAATCTCATATTTTCTGTGCCGACGCCAGTCTAATTACACATCTCTACTCAACGGCGGAGACTGTAATATTACACAGCGCCCAGCCACGAGGAAAGCTCCAGTATCATAATTTCGCTCCCCATCTGCCCCCACCCTCACTGAGATGGTATTCCATCACGGTTTGATATCTACTCTCGCCATCTGTTACCATCATTCCTTCCACTTGCGAAAGTTTAGGAAAATGCCAGTTCCCTGTTTTGAAGGCAAGCGAGGTGAGGGTTCTTCTTTGAAGGACTTTGAAGGACGTAGGTTGCAGAACGTAGTGTTCGCTGGGGTCCTGTGGGAAATCGCCGAGGGGAGTAATCATCAATATCACCGTTGAAATAGTACAGTTTATGGCGACCTCCCACGAATTAGATGTAGTCCGACAACACTCACGAGGGATACAGTTAATGAGTTGCAGTGAGGTGAATCCTTGACTGCCCTGTACAGTGCGATGAAGGGAAGAGAAGGTTGGCACAAGCCCGCGCTAACGCACGGACTGAAGACTGGGCCGTGTTGAATATATCATAACATCTGCGAACTGCAACAAATGTGATCTCGTGCAAAGTATGATTGTTGTTGTTGTTACACGAACGATGCGTACAGAAGAGGCAGGTCTGAAGGCACGAAGTTTCCAAACATGGAAACTGTAGCCAGATCTGGGCTCTCACGTCCCTCCCGCGGCCCCGGCGTGTCTGAATTCAGCGAGCGCCCGCGGACAAGGGTCGGGCCAGTGAACCACACCATGGAAAAGGGTTTGCGCTCATTGGATTTACGGTGAAAGTTCCTCGCACACCCAACCTGCTGTATTGAAACTCCGCACAAGCAAATCTTAAAGACTCGAGCCTGTCATAACAGCATCAGGCAGGGCGACAGACGGCCAGCCAGCCAGCCAGGCGGCCAATGGGGCATCAACAATCGTCCCAAAGAGAGGGCAAGAAACGAAGGGAAGGTAAGGAAGAGGTAAGCGGAGTCGGACGAGGTGAGGAAGCCGGGCAACATCGCCAATGTCAGTTACGGCATCGAGGAACGGGCCGATATCGTTGAGCATCGAGACATGAACCCGGAGAGCGAGGAGGAGGAGGAGCAGGAACACAGTACGTACGACCACGTTCTGTTGATGATGGCGCCGACGTCAGCGGCCGCGCTGGGGCCAATGGAGGCGCGATTCGGCCATTGCCATTGCTGCAGAGTCCTTTTCGAGAGTCGCGACACTTTGTTTCAGGGGCGTTCCCGGGATCAAGCCGTGACAAGTACTGGATCGGCTTGCCTCCATTCAATCACTCGATTCACATGCATTCAGACCTCATTCAGTTCCCAGCCACCAGCCCCCAGCCCAGACTCGACCGCCGATCCGCAATCCGCACACCTTCCTTCCTCCCTCCCTCCCTCCCTCTTCACTTCCAAGAAGGAATCACCATTTTCCAACGCCACAGCGTTGGGACAACGCTGTGGCGGCTCCATTCCCCGACCTAGTCTGAGTAACGTTCTATTCTCCGCCCCCACGGCGGACTCCGCGCCCCTCCCTCCTTCCCGTTTCCCGAGGAGTCGCAATGTGGGCAAGTGGCAAGGGGCTCAAGATCGCGTTTTCCGAGGATTTCTTCCATAAATCGAAAAGCCTTTTTTATTTGCACTTTCTGGCCTTACACTTTCTACGGTCCATCGAACTGGTTTCATGCCTCGCTCGCTCGCTCGCTCGACCGCCCGCCCCCTCTCTCTCTCTCTCTCTCTCTCTTTCTCCCTCCCTCCCTCCCTCCCTCCCTCACACTTTTTGCCTCGCGACTGGTTCACTACATTAAGCAAAGCCTGGCAGAGTTTCGAGATATTTTAAGTATTAGACTGTTGCTTTGTGCGTCTTTTATTTTGAGCGTTCCTCGACGACGTGAAAAGCACCGCGATAGTCGTATCTGCTGCGAGTCATGCATGCATGCATGAACAGCGAAAGCGCGCGATTTTCGTCTCCGATGCGCCGGTTTTATTACGAGCTCATCTCATCTCGGTTTCTTGAGCTCCGTCGTACGTGACGGCCGTAAATGTTCCGCCGCAACTCCCAGATTAAGACGTCATGGACTGTGGAGTTTGGGGTTTCCAAACTGCACCATAATGGAACGTCCATGTATGAGCAATTTGCATGCAAGGGTACGAGAAACGAAATGTGACATGCAGTTCGTGTCGATTTTATGGCGCATAGATCTTAAAACTGTGAATACGAAAACTCAGTGGATTTTAGCAAAAACGATCCATATATTTGAACATGTGTTTACGTTCTCGCAATGTCCTTTATGCAAGAAAATCAGTTTACCAATTATTTCTATTTCAATAGAGTCGATGAGTTCAAACGCATAGGCCTATTAGGGATTAAAAAAAATTAAGTGTGAATATAGAGGCTGCTTTTTAACGTGGCATACATTGGAAATTCCTGTAGTTTTTCTTCAAAATAATCAAAATAATTGTGTATTTGTTTCTATAGAAAAATGTATATACATCACAACGTATATAATCAAAATATCGTCTCGTAAGGGTGATCATATATGATATCAATGCTGGTAATAATTTCTACTGCTGGACTTTCATCATCTACCAACGAGTTCTAAGTGTACAACATAGGTTGTTGAAAAATTGTAGTGATACTTGCATGTCTTATGTGCTCTTTATGTACTTATTTGAAGTAGTTCATTTCCAATAAAATAATTAATTAAAAAATTATATAAGATTTGAGTCCAAAATAATTATATTGGTTTTTCTCAAAAATTAAACATTTTTTAATAGTTAATTATGATATTTTGATCATTGATGTATATTTTAAAAGATATAGCACTTTTCTTGTGTCTAAGATACAGCACTTTTTTGGAGCAAAATTCATGTAAAATGGATAGCTACAAAAATAATACTAACCATACTGACTAATGATCATATTTACAGTCTTGAATGAGGTGTTAACATGTGGATCACTGAACAGATTTGATTTGATTTTACTTGAAAAGATATAAAAGAACTTAAATTTTCAATAAGAATAGGCAAGAAATTATTCAAATTTCACTAAAAAAAGGAAAAATATTTTGATATATATACATAATATATTTTGTAATAAAAATATTTCAAGTTACCAGTAGAAATCCAATTTTTTTTCCATGATATAAAAGATATCTTACAACTATGATTTTCACACATTCAATGATCCTGATTTTTCATAAAATTGGATGTGGCTTATTTTAAGTAAAGAAACTATTACCGTGAATTTTGTGTATAATATTTACATCGTATCTGTATAAAATTATTTATGTACCTTTCTTATAAACTAAAGTTTTCTGAAATGAAATGATAGATTCTATACATCAGATTTATACAAAACATTTCAAAAAGATGTGGACAATGATAAGTCTTAATTTACACTTATGCACATATGATTGATTGTTAAAAACTTCACATCAATATATATACATGTATGAATCACTCACTCTTGAAAGAATCAATACGGTTCAATTCAAGAATATTATGAACACGAATAAGTCTAGCAATGGACATGCTTCATTTTTAGAATGGAGCAACAATCTCAATTTAATTTGATGTTTTTGTTTGTGTGATGCATTTTCCTTTTGAAAGAGCTGTGATGACTGTTGGTAATACAGTGTGTCCCAGCTTTGCAAATGCATCATTATCAGTTTTTTGTTACTACTGTTGACACTATTGCTATATCTTATAGAAATCTATAGCTTGAACTGAGTATCTAACTAAATATATATTCTTTAGAAAGAAACATTTTTAAGCACAAATCGCATGTTTAAAACTGAAATATTTTACTGCAGATTTATTCAAAGGTATCCAGGTGATCAGATTTAAAGTTGGTCATTGGTTTAGGCTTTTTCATGTATTATAGACACTATATTCCGAAAAGAAATAGGTTCTGGATCTTCACCGACACATCATAATCAATTAGCCCTCAGCTTTTACTTGAGAAAACTTTTTCCTTATGTGCTACTCTTTCCTTTCTCAAATGATTGTGTTAGTGTTAACCTCCAAAGTGTTTAATTTCAACTACTCACATGAGCGGCTCTTCAGATAATATTTCATCCCGTATTATTACAACTCTAGGCAAAGTTCCCTCTTAGCGTCAGTACTTGCAATACATCGGACTGACTTGTTGCTTGCATTATACAAGTCCACTTCCAAATGTAAGAGACCAAATGTCGACTTGTCCTTGTTTTGTCGAAGTCTATCATTACATCCAAAAGACCTATTGTATTCTATTATATTCTTCCGTTTTCAGAGCCAACCTAAAATGCACTTGAATTATGATGAAGACATAAAAACCATATACTTCTTTTCATTGCCTACATTCATGGCGAATACTGCTACCTAATCCTTCAAATTTTCACTCCTACTTCCTCGCATAGATCCCACAGATATATCCCCAGATATGAATCCCACCTCCCTGTATATTTCTCATTAATGCACATCGGCTGGTGTCAACTCTAGGAACGGAATAGGTGGTCGAAAATACCTTCATGATATTTTCTTCACGGGCGGAAGCTTGATCGTTTCTTGACCTCCTCAACTCTTCTAAAACCTCCCTGTCTTCTGTCTTCTTCCTCAAACTGCTGGGCAATCCTCACGAGCCTCTCAGTATCGCGTGCGCTCATCATCTCTAAATCTCTCTTATTGTTTGTATGCAATTTACTAAAATCTTACTCACATTTAGCAGTACTCTTGTCTGCCAATAGTTTAATCTCCTTTCGCTCTTGGTTTTGTGTGCACACCTTCCAGAGTCATCCAACTCCATGTATGCAAGCCACCTTCTTCCTTTTCATCCCTGAAAACTCCTTACTTGACAGTACAGACTAATACTTTTTAAAAATAGAATTCAAAGCGTCACACAAATAATGTTATTTATTAGGACACACGAGTATTATAGTGACTACTTCATTACGTGCTTTTATTATACTAATAGCATTTCAAAAACTTCTAGCTAAAAAAGATGATAATATAATTCTTCAGATACCATTTTCACATAAAAAATTGAAATATCTATTTAAATTAGGAAATCTGAGATAATCATCAACCTTTCACATGTTAGTTCATTTAACATCAAAATATAAGCAAGAAATAAAACACAATTACGTTATGATTTGTATATCTGCAATGTGATTAAAAAATTCCAATTAAGTGATTATGTGATAGCCTCATATCTTTTAGTATGATACAAATCAAAACTCATTAAATGATTTCATCTTCATATAATTTCAAATCTCTTATCTTAGTACTATGATAAATCAATTTTAAAAATATGAAATTTTGACATCAATCTAAACATAATTCATTCTTCAGTTCTTTTTGATAAAAAAATTAGGAAAGATGATGATATGTGTAATTCACATATCTAATAAAATCTACATCAAGAAAATCTAAGATTAATTGAAATAATATCGATTTTACTTATTCTGAAAGAAAAAGAACTATTTAAAAATTTTTTTACCATACAATTTTTAGTTAAAAGTAAAGATGATCCAAATTTTTATGAACTATATTAAATTGGGAAAAAATATTTTATATATTTAGACATGTTAACTATGATGATCATCGTCAAATATAAGATATGCCATTAAATCATGTATAAGATCGTGATCATCTTGACTTCTATAAAAACAGTAAATCTTGTCTTGCATGAAATGCAATGAGATGATTATTTTGCATTGATAAATCATAGAATATGCTAGCCATAAATGATCTAAACAATATAACATGAAATTATTATATAATGTAAACATGAAAATTAATATAAATTTTGAGTTGTATTGTTAATAGAGCAAGATTTATCTTAAAATATGCCTCACATATATAAAGTTTTTCAAATATTATCTTGAAGTATAATATAATTTAAGTTTTGCAATCAAGTTAAAATTGAAATGTGGCTTGTGAGAAGCAAATTATAAATGTATTTGTCAATTCTAAGTTGAAAATTTTAAAAATATCAACATATATTATATTTTAATCACATAGATTATCTGGTATATAATGTATCCATTTTGTACCATTCTACTTTCCTAATGATAAAAATTTCAGAACATAATTTTCTTGAATACATTATGTTACTTGCATTTAAACATTCATGACAATTTTATAATAATATATAATTATTTTAATTGTAAAATGATAGATTCATCATTAATAGCAAAATTGATTGTTTGTATCATCATAAGGCTGGAAAAAAAATTTAAGATAAAAATATTTATATTGTTTTCTTTTCTGATAGATTGTGAACAAGACTAATAACAACATTAATATAATCTTCAAAGTATGTGATGTGTTTGACTTCCAAAGTTTTGATGATAAGTATTTCGAAATTAAAATATAAAATGAATATTTCAATCACAATATCTTGTTGAAAGCATCATTTTTTTCAAACTAATATACATTTTAATTATGATGATCATTATCAATACAAAAAGTTATGCATTATATATATTAGCAATAGAAAAATACCGGTCATTGACATAATCATCATTATTAGTTGAGTTTGAAACGTATTTTTTATTCAGTGATTTAAATATTATACTAAATGAAAAAGAATTTAAAATCATTTCACAAAATATTAAAAACGAAAATTTCAAAAAAATGAAAAAAATGAGTTATTTTTTACATTTGTGCTAATATGGATTTTACATAGATTTATTTTATGAATTTTTCGTTTTTTTTTTGGAATGTTATAATGGTCTCTAGTTGTTATCAATATTTGAAAATCTCCGAAATTTCATTTTTCACTTAACTTGCATCAATCAATCCACAAAACCACTTACTATTTGTATATTGTAAATATTTACATATCTGGTTTGCTAAGGGAAAGAATAGCTTGTTGAATGCAAGGACTACCTTCATCCGGGAGGAATCTTTGATAAGGAGTAATCTGTGTTTATTGGCCATTCTTGTGCTCACAAGAATCAAACCATTTCGATCTGTTCTCATCAAAGTCTTTATGAGAGACTGACTACTCTCAATCAAAGACTTTTTATCCACCGCTAAAATTAAACTCAAGACCTTGGATAGCATTTGCCCCATTTACTTTTCAAGTCCAGCTCAACTTACCATCGGAACGATAGTTTTCTTGAGCAGACATCTTTACACAACTTACAGGTGATATAATAATCTTCACGTTAAGAATGTTGTCTTCACATTTATTCTCAAAGTATTTCTATATTGATCCAGCATGGCATAGCAATCAAGGTGTAATTGTTCTCATGATTGCCTCTTGCTAAAAATACTCCGCGATCTTGCACGTATGAACATGCAAGACACTAAGTTTGCTTCGAGTGACTTTTCATATCTTTATCCTACAAACTCATTATTGGCAACTTCATCTCGCATTTTGTAGCCATTCAACGAATATTTAAGTTTTGCCCTTTTTGTACAATGCTTTCTGCTCTAAAAAGTATTAGTATCATAGATTAATTCACTATATGATTTATGAAACTATAAACATTTTCATCATTCAACCAGTAAAAAATAATTTGTGATAGAGGCACCAAATTTTTAAACCAAAGACATACATTTTATCGTATATTCATGTCTTTCGATGATCTTGCATATGACAAATGTTTATTTGGATTTTTTATAGTTGATTAACACATAAATTTCTAGGCATATCACAGCGGGGATAGCTCAGATGGGAGAGCGTCAGACTGAAGATCTGAAGGTCGCGTGTTCGATCCACGCTCACCGCACATCAGCCGACAGTGAAAGAAGACGGAAGATTACGTTGAATTGCAATTAAATCTCTAACGTTCTAAATATCGGTGTGTTAACTTTCTATGAAATTATATAAGTGTTTTTTCTTTAAATAAAAACAAAACACTTATGTCATGGATGTGGAAAAAACTAAACATGACATTCTTTTCCTTAAAAGTAAAAAACACAATTATATATTGAGATATTCTCATAAAAAAACTCACATTCAGATAAAACAAGATAGTTTAATTATTTTCAAATCAAAAAATTTAGAAAATTATGTTGCAGTTTTACCAATTTTTTCGTAAAAGATCATTTAAATTGATGTAATTTAGATCTTTTTATTAGAAATATTATTAATTGCAAAAAAAAATGTACACTTTGAATTGATATGTTTGAAGCATAAAATACCATATTTTTTACATATTTAGTTTTATGAATCAAAATAATAATCTTAACATGTTTAAATTTTTATTTTAAGGTAGAAAATCAGTCAAGGAAGAAGTTGAGATGTAGTTCTTAAAATCTACTAAATCTAAATCCGCTTCAGCCCCTGTCCGGGATGTACCGCAACTCAACGGAGAAGGGCTACCAAGCCCCTGGCTTAGAAATGGCTCCTGGCTAAATCTACTGAATCTAAATACGTAAAAACCATGCAATTTATTACAAATCAGAGTGGCGCAGCGGAAGCGTGGTGGGCCCTCAACCCACAGGTCCGAGGATCGAAACCTCGCTCTGATATTCAGAGATAAGCTTCTAGATTTTGAACAAAATTAATTTGATAAGATGTTCTGAGCCTTTTGACTCTTTGGGTAGAACGGCTTGTTAATATAATATAATATAATAATATAATATATGTCAGAAATTGACATCTTATGATATCAATAGAAATAAGATATGAGATATTTGATTCTAAAAAGTTGATAGTGTTTCATTCTTCAAGCTGCTTGCATATCTCAAAATAGCAAGTTTGGATTAAATTCCAAGTTGCTGTCTTCATTTCATACGTCGAGTATTGAACTAATAAAAGCTTTACATCCAAGACTTTTCATTTTAACGATTATAGAGATGTGTATTGTATAAGGAGAGTAGTTAGAAAAATGAGAAGACATGAAAATATCAACACCCAAGCATCATCCTAAAATGTGTTTTAAGGTATGCTAATTGAGATAGAGCATCATCACAAGAACAGGACGAAGTTCATGACATCAGGTAGAGGTGTAGAGGAAACCACTGTTTACTTAAATTTCAAGAGAAGATGTAGATGGAGTACTTGATGTTCATCTGGAGACTTTTCCAATGCGTGTTTTTGGCAACATTACATGGAAGCATGGTACATCCGGCGATGAACATTAAACTTAACTGCTGATTTATAAAATGAACTTTAAATTTCTTCTATATGATCTAGTTTACAGTTGTCTAAAGTCCATAGATTTGATGTAAATTGCAGTTGTTACAAAAACAGCAGATAGATCTCCATAGATGAAGCATATCTTCATCACCATTTTGATAAAGCAAAATATGTTCGTCGAGACCGGAGATTTCCATAGTTGATGAAAGATTTTCCAAAGATATCATGTGACAAATAGTCCATCTACTATTTGTCACAAATACCACTAGAGAAATCACATTGGACGTAGATGAGTGTTCAAGTCGTACATGTAAGCTACTGGTGAAATATTAAGATGTAATGCAAGATTCACCAATGATGAAACTTTCATTACGCATCTGCTCCAATGGCAGTCTGTAGTTCTACACCTATGCTCTCAGCTTTCGCTGTTCAAGTCAAGCAAGAATTATAGCATCTAGGTGTCAAGACAGCATGTAAATGTCAGAAGTGTCTGTCCCTGAAAAGTCCATGAGGGAACGTTCAGACTTCCACGATAAAAGAGGGTACCTTGCCAAACTATTGATTACACAATGTATATAATTTATCACTTGTTTCCGTGGTAGATACAAGGGTTCTGGTTTATGTGTACATGCTTCAACTTAAAATTGTTATATGTGTGTATATTGTTTGTTTCTTGGTTAAGTACAAAACATATCAGACAAAAATTTGTCACTAGTTTTCTCCTCATATACCGATCATGCTTATGACAATTTATAATAGTGAAATGTGAGGTTGATGATAAAAAACTAACAAAATTGAAGTTAGAACCTATTCCAGGTAAAAAGTCTTACATAAAGTTCAAGAGTATTGCTCGGAATCTGCTTGACAGTTATAAATAGTGTGAGCAAATTAGGGCAAGTGCAAGATAGTCCACATGATCTTTCGTGGAATGGAAGACATCATGATGAAGTAGATCACACCTTAACAAACATAAAAAGGAAAAAACCACAGTATAAACCTCTTGATTTCCATGATATAAACTGACACATTCTACCTTTGACTGTTTTGAGTATTACAATCTGCACAACTAACTTACATAATGGAATGATGAATCCAACACACAGCTCCAGTCTATCACACGAGGCGTGTGACATTGCGGACTGAGAACTGCACAACCTAATATTATCGAGAGAAGTTTATAGATTGTCTTCAAGCCCACGGTAGATAAAACAGAATTCAACGAACGAACCAACCTAGTGAACACGACTCCCATATATGTCTTCAACTCTGGCCTACAACTGGCGGGTAGAGATTAGCTGGGAACGAATGCCAACGACCGGAATCCTAAAATGCCAAATGTCCCATTCCTGCAACACTGACTCCGTCATCTACAAGTGTCAAGCATGTCATAATATTGGTAGTGATGAAGAGTTGCAAAAGAAGGCAAAACCCCCATCTAAAGGATGTTAAAGACCACAATACAACCACTTACTGTAGACGGAAAGTGCATATTCTTGAACATCAATCACCATGATCTTGTCCGTGGGCAAATATCATAACACTTGGATCATACCCAAAAACAACTGCTATACGCCACGAATTCCTCAGTGAGTAACACAGGGTATAAGTAGCTGCGTAAGAGCCAGTCTTTCGGACTTTCGAACTTTCGAAAGGCTGTAGCTAAATGTGTCGTTGTAGGCAGGGCGACGAAATTTACCTTCAATAATAATCTTCAGAGGGCCCTGTGAGCATGTGGGTATCTCGCTTCCAGTATGTCAGAAAATATAGACCATCTCAGACCTTAATATGAAATATACCCTGAATCTAGCAATGCATGCACAAGTGCCTTGACTCGAAGGTGAAAGTATTTCCCTTTACTGTAAACTTCAAATTAACCTCCCCATCCGACCCTCTCCTGATCTCAAAGAAAGACCAATCCACGTGCTCGAAGGCTCAGCATATAAACATCCCTAACAAAACTGCCTTGCCAACAAAAGAATCTCATACCAAGATAACTACTGGCTTCACGCCATCTAGAGGTCTAAAGGATGATAGCCAATCATCATCTAATCCGAATTTTAGCCGTCCAACTCCATGTAACATCACTATTGTAAGACCTGTCGACAAAGTCCTGTCATCACTTTCTCACTAGACACGTCTCATAAACTCATAGCTGCATCACTTTGCACTGATTCTCTGCCCATACGCAAGATTTTCGATATCTTCAGTCGGTATCAGAAGTATCACTCTCAACCTCGTCACCATAAGCAGCTATCATACTTGACAGACTTTCACTTAGTTCTTGTACCTCTTCCCTTGCAAAACCCCAGTCCTGCATTAATGAAGGACCTGTTGTTGAACGGGCAAGAGCTAACTGTTGCATGTCTAGTGACCTCCGTTTAATGAAGGGAAGTATACCTCTACTCGTGCTTACCCTTGCAGCAACAGGCGCAGAAATTACATCAATACCACCTCTACCTTGCTTACTAATCACATTGGGCCGCGGTAATATATTCCCATACTTCCCAATGTAAGATGAAAAAATACACGGAAAAGGTAAGGGGACTGCCAGTGGGCACTGAGATACTGCAAGATGGCTGATCCTCAAGCTCTGCCTCGAGTTTCTGCGAGCTTTAACAGCTATTTCGCCGGCCTTGGCAACACTTTCCTGTACTTGGGCGATTGTGGCTGGTACTCCGGATCCTGAAATTCCATAGCATATCCTCTTTCAAAAACGAGTCATACCTCTATCGTGTACAGTTAAAAGACAATAATATAAAACTGAAAAGCATTATGAGGGAACAGGGCTAACATACAAGCAAAAAAAATTACATGCGCCTGCAACAACGTTAAAGTCTCAACGCACCTGGTAACTGTGTACCCTGAAGAACCATCATCTCTGCAACATGACTTCCATTGGTAGCTTTTCCTGTGCTTGGAGTTAACGGTGATAGCTTTTGCACATTATAGACACTTTGACCTTGAATGTCTGAAAGGACAGGAAAACTATTATGTACAATACTCTCGAGATTGCGATTCTTCATGCAGATGTTATTGCTCGTGTAGAAAGCACAAAGAGAAAGACAGAGCAATTTCATTGCTCTGCTTCGATACTCAAACTTCTGAAAAATATACCCAAATAGCATGATGTAATATACAGAAAAGTATGACCATCAGAATGAGTTTCTCGTTTCACTCAACAGACAGTTGTCGCAACTTTGGATTGGTTTTCGGAAAAGAGACACCTACCACATAAAGCGGGTGAGGGCAAATTCGCTTCCAACAAAGCTACTCTCCTTGAGGACGAGCATGAAACTAACCGCAAGGCGCTACCCATATCCAGGCTGCCCAAACCAGCTTTTTGTGAGGTAATGGATGGTCCGGAACCTTCCATTCTGTAGGGTAAGGTGATGCAGTTTATGGCAGCTGCATACACTGCGCTTGTGTGGAAATCCTTCTCATCTTTAATCACTAGGTGTTCCGCAAATGAACCTGAAAACAGGAGAGGCGCGCTTGTGAACAAAAAATTATTAGCGGTTGAGAGAGTTCAAGCTAAAAAGGAAATCCGCGAGAGATGAGAACAAAATCTTCCTATCTATCCATGACAATTCCGCACAACATTCAACCCTCTAACTGAGAACGGACTCAACTAATCAAATTAGGGACGAAACCGTTGATGGAAATTCACAAAAAAGACACATGTTACACATAGATAGTTAAAATATAAATCTCACTTGTTGCAAGTTGCGAAAGCCCCAGAGGAATCGTAAGTTGAGCAACAGCAGCAAGTCTTGCTAATGAGACAGAATCATGAAGAGCACGAACAATCTGCCTGTTGGTGCTTTTTGACTCTTGAACTCTCTTTGGAGCTCGCACTGTGAACAAGGAAACAGGTGTTCTTCCATATTCATCTGCAAGGTCTTCCAGAAAGTCTGCTGCAACTGCAGAAAATCCACCTGAGTCGTCGACGATACATTGAAAGCCCTGGGCAACAAACGAAATAATTACAAACATTAGTTGGTAAAGAAGACCAATTATGTGAGTTAATGAGACAATGTACAAGTCTAAACGAAGTGACAAAAACTGTGAATACAGAGATGCGGCTGCGTTCTCCGCCAATTCCTTCTAAGCAGCTAGTGGTAAGAGCTTGATTTGACTAGAGCCAGGAACTTAAAGCTATATCGCTTACCTGTATAGAGTCACACTCCTCCACAAAGAATCGGACTTTGTCACGTATTTCTTCAGCTTGCTCCCCAGTAGAGAAAAGGCCCTGGCCACAACCGTAGTCCTCGAATGAAGTCACCCCCTGCCATAACCCTGCAATTTCGTACGTGCTCGAGGGGTGGAGTTGAGCCTTCAAATAATCGGTTGAGAATTGGACTCCGTCTTCTAGACTTTGAATCACAGCTCGTTCTTGTTCTTTTGCTTCCCGCACATGCGCTTCTTGGGTTGCCAGGTCGGTGGCATCTCGTGAACTGGTCTCGGCACGAGTATGATCAAGGCCTTGAGCTCCTCCTGACAACCATTTTTCTTCCTCGTCCAAGCTTTGCAAAAACTTGTTTTTCTCATACCGCTCCGCTCTAAACGTCGCTGCAGGTCCATGCCTATATGAAGACAAGGTGAAAATGTTGGTCCTGGAAAAACTCAGGCTGTCTTCTCACAGCACTTACTTCACAGGACAAAATAAGCTCACTTACAACTAGAACGGGGTACTACTTACCAGGTTGTGATAGAGTTGAGTTCAGCTGCAGGAGGTCGCTCATACAAGCTTCCAGATGGATTTACGGCACCTGAGCTTCCTGTAACAAGTTAACTACAACAGCAGCAGAAAATATTAGCCTGAAGTCCGTTCCAGCCAGTCTTCCTTACCCGATTGCATTTCTTCAGACAATTTTCAAGAATGTGACTTCCACCGATATTCTGCGTCAGATGATGAACTAAGGGGAAAGTAATACTCAACTTCAAGCGTTTGGATTAACATAATTGGCCTTAGCGATTAATGCAGAGGATGCACACAAAGCATAAAAGTCTAGAAAGCTTACTGCGGGATGTTTGGAAACAGGATTTCATTACCACGTAAGTCAATGGACAATAAGCGTGGAGTGTATGTTGCTATCCGCTGCAGACACAATTCTCAACGAGTGTTAGTCATGTTGGCCAACTTTTGGCTTTCTTGAAATGATAAAAACACAACTGAGCTTTGGAGCTCAAACCACAGGCAGACTCATTATGAGCTGTCAGCTCAAATTAGTGTTGAAAACTCCTGTTCGCTAGCCGCAATTCCGAAATTAATACCTGCCGCGTTTCACCCTGTCTGTAAAGCACGCCCATATTCAAGCCGTGAGTAGGAATCATTGCATCCTCGCAGCCATCTTCTCCCAATCCAAGAATTTCATCCTGCAAAGATATGGATCGAACGAGGTGCTCACAATCAGACGACAAGCTTAAGAATCATTCCTGCCATTGCACAATTAAAACAGGACCAAAACCACGTAGTCAGCCAGCCGGTCCAAATTCTCACCTGGAAATTCCAAAAATGAGACCCGACGAAATTCGCGTAACCTCCTACTTGAAGCGTCAAAATTTCCTTCATTCTTTCCACAGCGATGATAGATCGCACCGAGCGTCGCTGGTGCAGATCACTGCAATCTCGATCTCAGCAGCGTCGGCCTCACAACCTAAAACAGTGCAATTTTTCCGCAGCTCCACATCTCAGCGACGAACGCCAAATCCGCTCCTTGACTCCCAATGCGTCGTGTAAGCAAATGGATGACAGACAGAATACGGAAAAGGAAACAGAACGTGTCACGGAAACAGACGTTGAGAAGTTTTAGATACTTTGATGTTTGATGATGCTGAGTGAGCTTCATGAAAGAAAACGGTCAGTAATACAGCAACAGACCGGAAGACCCCATCAAGTAAATTTGTAGATCATAAATTCCGATTATGTTGCTAGCACCTATAGCATCACAATGTGAAATATGAGCTAGGGCAGTTAATCTTATGAAACGTTGTTTGATTGTTTTCTTGAGCTATCGCAGCTATGTCTCTAAGCAGCTATTTTATGTGTGTTACTTAGGTGTTTAAATACCAATTATGTGTTCTTGAACGGCTTATTTTACTCTGTTAATGGAATCAGAACTTGAAGGTTCAAGAAAAATAAACTTTTGTACACATAGCATAGATACAGGGAGTGCATAAGTTCCTTGATTACTCTAACTATCCAATGGTTTCAGGCACATGATAGATAAGTGTCTTCCAATTTGTCATGATCTTTACCAGATTCAATTGCATGTGTTATCTGCAGAGCAACTGATGCATGCTGACTAAAACTTGCTAAGTTTTAGTTTAGTTTATATATGTATATATAGCATATTTATGTATATTAGCAAGGTATACTCTATCATGAACTTGTCCAAGTCAATGGACTTACGAAGAGTTGTGAAGTATGAATGAATTTTATGTTTTGAATTTTTGTATGCAAATCTTTGTTGATACATTAGCTCTACCTGCATATCGACAAGGAGTATGGATTACCATACCTTCAAATAATGTTAAAATTACAATGTATAACTGCAACATTAAAGTGGTCATACCGAATAAAGTAGGAATTTGAATAAATCTAAATGGACCACAATGCATACCACCCATTACTCCAAGTGAAAACTTCGCACTCTAATATCGTAAAACCAACAGGCACTTTACTAAAGTGATCATGGGTAAACCAAATCTATTCTGCGTTAGTAACTTGGGATGAAGTATGAAAGTATATATCAAATAAGATATTAGCATACTCACAAGTGAATGTAAATTATAATATTCAGCCAAGCACACGATGTAACTAACGCTGAATCTCATCGTTGTGAATGAGGAGGCTCGTGGAAGTAAGATGGTTTCTCTGTTGCATGTGTAAGAGGAAGAGTAAAGCGTAATATAGCTACGTGAGTTAGGAAAAAAAGGGCAATAAATGTCTGCCTTCCAAGACAAAATCGTGAAAGAGAAACATGAAGCAACCGCTGGAGCTTCGGCGGAACTTCAGAGTTCCTTCTTCACCCCAAATCGAGCCCTCAATTTCACCAACTTTGGCAGCAGTTTAGCCCCCCTCCATGCCCTCCCTCCGCATTAGAAGTCTCAGAAACAAATCGGAAGGCGTTCGGAGGGTTTTTCCTGTTTGACGTGGGAAGGCCTGTTTCTGTACAGAGGATGAAATTAGGGTGGCTTAAAGAATAGGGTTTCAGAGCGCAATCGGCTCGTGGTTCAGTGCAAGATACAGGGAAGGGAAGCGGAAGCGGGAGCGGGAGCGGGAGCGATTTGATTTGGCGGTCGATTGATTGATCGGTTGGTTGATTGGCAGTCTTCGTCTTCCGAATTCAATTGACGAAGATGGATACGAATGCAATTCACAAGGCAGTGAAGGATTGGCCGACGGCTTTCTTGAAGAAGGCCAAGGTGATCACGCACTGGGGTTTCATTCCCTTGATCATCATAATTGGAATGCGCAGCGAACCCAGGCCGCATATTTCGCAGTTGCTCAGCCCTATGTAAATGACCCGATTTCAAAATGGGCAGGGCTTGAATGTCTCGATCACGGAGGTGGTTTCGCCTACGATCGATGTTTTAGTGGAGGAGTGTCACGATCGCCTAATTGCTCAAAATCCTCATCGATGTGCTTTCCAGCCAAGTAAGTGAGCTGGTTTTTCTGGATTGAAGGCATGGCTGAGTCTCTTGAAGCATCAGAGCTACGTTTTGGAATGATGAACCATTTGGGTGTGGAAATTATCGTTACTTGATGATTACGGAGCGAAATGTGTCCTCAGAGCGCTTACAACGAGAGGAATGTAGTGTAGGAAGGGAATATAGCTGATTGTGAACTTCAATTTTCGGATCACATTGTAGAGGGCTTTGAAGTCTAATACTTCAAACTTTATCTTATGTATCTTACTATCGCCGACTCGCATAGACTTTAAGTTGAATGTATCAGGCTTCGTCAATACCCAGGTTTTGACTCAAATTTCTGCGATATTCGATCTTCTTAGTTGATGTTGCAATTGGGTGGCATGATATTGTCTGCACTCGAATCTTATTGATCTTCATAACATTTATCAGTGAAAGACGGCTCTTGTGATCTGTCATGGAAATCCAGGCATCTGTCGGATCGGCTTTTTCTTCTTCCTTTTGAATCGATTCTCATATATTCTGTTGGCTCACTTGTATGCGAATGCTTATTCAAACTCCTCAAGAAGTACAGTGGAAACAATGAATCGCAGAAAGAAGACAAAAGAAGAAAGATGATAGCGTCTGGTAGCTTGTTAGCTTCGTGAGTAGAGGCTTTGATTAGTCTTGCGAGAAGAGCTTTAGTCTTTAACTTAACCTTTCATGATTTCCTCACTGATTATAGTAGATTGAAACCTTTGAGAAACCCCCTCGTCAGGATCAAAGTCTCATAGTGAAGTGGGGAGCACCCAGAGCACGCTAGGTTGTCAAGGTACTTAGTGTCCAGAATACCTTGTCTACTAGTAACTCTCACTAAACTAAGGAAATTGATCCAACTTTTACGTGTCCGCATATTTCACATTGATAGTATTTGCGGCCTGGTCGAAGAAGAGACCTAGGGTTTACAGATGAAGACGTGATTGCTCTCGAGCTTGTCCATGCAGTCTTGGCTGTTGTTAAACTGTTTAGATGTTAGAATGTTGGAGAGACCTCTCCAAGCGTGAATGAAACCGACTCCAGTAAGAAAATGCCGTTGACCATAGCTCTGAATCCTATTGGACTGTCAGCGATCATCTTACAGCAACGTTTGCAGGTTGAACTGAGTTATTCGGATGGTTATTTATGTTTGTCATGTAGTAAGTGGGTCGAGACACCGATTAACAGTCCATGTGTATATAAAGCCCACTGGTGTTAACTAGCTCTCTATGAACCGATGTAAGAGAAGATTTTGCGAAGACATGCCAGGGTGCCTGTCTGCTACAGGTGGCAGGTGAGTATTAGTTGTGAGAGAGTAAGTATCGTTGCAAGAAGCTGGTGGACAGAGTTTCACCATCAAAATGCTCGTGACGTGCCCTCAGTCGAACCTATGGATTTCCAGCAGTCCTCTCTTGTGTCTGCTGTGTATGCTCGATAAGCATATTTCAATGCAGGACATTATTTTATACGAGAAAAACGATAGTGTCCGTGGCTCTGCCCTTGGCTACAAGGTTAATGTTCTGATGATGTAAATACTTTCAGAGGTAAAGAGGAGACCACGATTATATCCTCTAGAGAGAACGACTTTGGCAATAGTGAACTCAGGTTTTGTTTCTACTTTTGCAGGCGTTTGCTGACACATGGCCCAATTGTTCCTACTTCTTCATGGCATTCGATGTCTGCGAGTTCTATATGCCAGTTTCGATATTCGCACGGATTATTGCTCTCTATATTCATTTTTCTCGTAGCACTGTCTTACTGAAGCCTCCGCTTTGTCCGAAGTACGGGATTCAGGATGAATCTGAAAGCGTACTTCATTCCTCTAGGAAGAGTTTTAAAATTGACAATGAGAAGAGACTACTCTGACTACTCTGTAGCTATCAACCCCTTAGCCAAAGAATCCTCGGAATTTGTCTGGGCTTACGTCCGTGGCTTTGTCTGCAACTGCGCGACATGGACTTGGCCTGTTATTACAACTATCATCTCAGGAGTGCGAGGTCTAAGACGGGTCAAACAAGTTACATTTTAGTTCTGAAACTGCTTTGTACTTATTTCTTCTGCCCACTTTGTTTTCGTTGCTTACGTTCGGCCACGATTGCTGGCTATCTGACATGTTCACCTAGCTGAATGTCTTCCCCAGAACGAGTTCAGACCCTCCACGGGATAAGTGTAGACCGCTTTGTTGGAAGCCTGGCCGTACTTTCAAGTCTGTTCAGGCCCTTGCTAGTTGAGAAGACAGCCGTACTCGCATGCTACTTTTTGAGTAGGGCTGTTGTGAGCAGAGAAATATGCATTGCATGCAGTCTGAATGGAAGCAAGGAGGAGTTTCTGGATGTGGTCAGGAAGCAGCATATGGACTAGTCGGGAAAAGTTCCAGGACAGACTACCTGGAGGAAGGAGGGCACCTCTTGTCAACTAGAGCAAAAGCTGACAACCAAGCTTCTCCGTCTATCAGCACAACTGTGTCGATGAAAAACTCTGCATGTCACACCGGACTGTCTTCAGTTGGAAACCTGAACCGTCGAACTCAGGTGATGCACCTTTTATTACAATCTTTAGCCAGCAGCCGGTGCAAAAACTGTATGCAGAGAAATCGTTCTGCAATTAGATCTACCTTGTATCAAAAAGACAGTCGGGAAATATCTTTCAAAGAATCTCCGTGCCTCAAAGCATGACTCTCGAGTAGCAGTCCATCCCGAGTGTTGGTAGCACGTTTCGTGCCACTCATATCAGATACACAGTTTGCGAGCATTCCTTCGTTTATCAGTTCACCTAATGACACTACTCATGAAGATCTGCGCGGAACTAGCTCCACTAAGCCTGGCTTGTAGGAAAACGCATTGCAGAACATTGACAGCACTACGTGTAAAATGCACAGCCTCGGAAGTGTCGTCCATTAGCACATGCTTGAGGAATACCCTCTGTATACATAATGATCATGGGATGATTCAAAGCTTTCGAGTAGGAGAGTCTCGATCAGGCTAATGGACTGAAAACTGGTAAACGTTACGGTATAACATCTCTTTGTCAACTCATGACTCGCATCAGTAGCTTTGGAATGTCAAAGACTGCTCATGCAGATGGTCCAGAGCTGAGGGTAGTAGTTGCAGTGGTCACGTCTTTGTACCGTCATCCATCATAGCTAACCAGGTTGGACAAGCACGCTGTGCTCTCTCTGTCTCTCTCTCAACCCCTTCATAGTCGATCAACTTTTGAGCAACGATCTTTGCTTCGCACAAGAGCCAGGACTCGGACCAATGAAAGCCACCGAAAAAGGTGTCTTTGCAAAGAGTGGTGTCGGACAATCAATCAATCGGACATCTCACGTTGCTGGGGAGATACGATCGAGGGGAGAAGGGGGAGGAGAAAAGGCTGAAACTGGACGCAGTCGAGAGTATGATATCCAGACGTTACATTGTCGTCGCAGCACAAGCGTAGAAGAGGGCGCTTTTAAGGACACAAGATCACCAGAGGCCAGGTCGATCCAGAATGAGGGAATGAAGAAGAAGCATTTCATCGATGGTAGCCTCCGTAGGTAGGCCTTTCTTTGATTCATAGGATGTCTGCACAGGGGCACATAGTACCCAGGACGAGGCCTTAGGTGAATGAATTATGGTGTCCTGCACGCGTTTCTGCTGTTCTGGCAGAGGTGGCCACGGCATCTGGGACCAGACTCACAGATTTGTCACAATTCCAGACGAGTGATTGCCCTCGAGTTCAGGGTGGGGCCCCAGATCGTCAGAAGTATTTCGCTAACGCGACAATTCCCCATCCCTGACCTTCCGAAACTCGAGACTCGCTCTTCCACCAACGTCAAGAAAGATGTACACAGATGTACCGCAAGCAGTACACAGTGGAGAGCAAGAGGGAGAGAAAGAGAGAGAATGTGCAGCCCTGATGAATACTACAAAAGATGGCATGAAGCGACCGACGGGTCTCCGTCGCTTCTTCCGCTGCTAATCAAGATTCCTCTATCCTGTCGTTTTGAACATCATGATGCGAGGAAGAAGAAGAAGAGCAGAAAATTTCATGGCAATAAGACGTCGAGGAGGAGGAAGAAGAAGAAGGATGATGTAAAATGGGGTGTTGTTGTGTTGATCTCCGGATGCACTTGTAGTGAGTGGCTTTGGGGTGGAGTACGATGAGAGTCGTCGTAAATTTGGGCACTGGTGATTTGACCGAGCTGAGGCTGAGGCTGAGCAGTTTACCCCACGCGTTAAAAGGATTTAATGGCAAGGAGACCGTTCTCATAAGAACGGATCGAGGTTGAGATCGATCGAGACTCCGATCAGGCTTTCCAAAAGGCGTGTTCATTATATCTCTCATGCTCTACGGCGCAGCAACTCTTTGCACCATAAGTACCGAGGCATGATTGATGTGCATAGACGAGGAACGAGGGAAGGGACGAAGGGACGACGACGGACACTGTTTTATGCTTCCACGGCTTCGTCCACCGACCACAACCCGTGACCTCCATCTCGGAGGGCCTTGAACACAATCCCGAGGCCTCGATATGTTCGCAACGGAAGAAGACGGGTGGGCATTTATGCTCAGGTCAGGCCGGAGGCCCCATGGCAACTCGTGAGGGTCGGGGCACGGAGCAAATGATCCCTCGGTCGAACTCGAGTGGGCATTAGTGAGCTCTTCTGCGAAACACGTTTTCTTTCCACCTGGAGAATTGTTCTGGAATCAGTGGCCCTGCCTGCTTATGATAAAGCGGCACATGCACCGGTGACTAGCGCGGAGATATTGCTGGACACTGTGAGTATGTTCCTCTATCCTCGAGCACGGGCGATGTCGGGCATAAATCCATCATAAACTCAAATGTGGGATCTGCCTGCAATGTAATGCACCGAGGCAACATGCAAGAAGCAGGGGTCTGGCAGTAGGAGTAGTACGTACTCTCGTGGAATGCAGGAGAAATTTGGGAGAGATGACATTGCCAGGTAGAGCATGGTAGCGCTGTGCAGCGCAGGGCATGGCAGGGCAGTGCAGGGCAGGGCTGCTGGAGTCTGTCGGAGACGAGCAGAGCTGGTCTGCCAAGTTTATCAAGAAGCCGCTGTGCTGTGTCGCCAACGCCAAAAGGTCTGCGCACTCTGCTGTCTGGCAGTCAGAATCTTTTGCCGCAGAAGATCTTACTTACTGTGCGAGTCTTCGTGATCATAATGATCACGATCGACCCGTGCGTGAGCATGACCTGGTCTTCCGTGATTCATTCGTCCCACTTCCACGGTCTCCACTTCCATCCATTCCCTCCTCCTCACATCCAATCGTGTTGACCCTCCATCCCTGCCTTCCTTTCTTCCTTCGTCCCTCCGCCCCCACCTGCTTCCCATCCTTTCCGATCCAGTTCATTCCATTCCCTTACCTTCCCTTCCTTATCCAGCTTCCGAGACTGTTCTGCTTTCCAGCCACCACAGCTCACTCGATTCCCAAGATTGCTTGAGACACTCTTGGGGATTGGAGTTTGTTCTGCAAAGCAGTTCAGTGCACATGGATGTGGTCTAACCTGATGCCAGAAGTGCGGTTTCCGACATCTTCTACTCTTGGACCTGCGCTCGAGAAGAATCACACATCTCGGCGACCTGTGAGAGTGTGGGCTTTATGCGAGTTGGAAGGTTTACTATTTTTCTCTTTTGGCACTCATCCAGTGCTCTGAAACTCCAAACTCGAGCCCAACCGATTTCGCTTTCCCAAAACATTTTTCGCGTTCTGCATAATTTAGCGTCTAGTACAAGTCGTAGTTGGCAACCTCGCCTCCTCGATATTTTATATATTTCACCCTCCACTCGACTTCCATCATCGAGATTCGATGCGTACATCGTTTCCAGCTCTCAACCACTTTTTCTGTATCGTTTGTCGTAAGTTTCTTCGTGCATACATACAACCATAATTTGGACGAGCATGAAACAGTACCTTTATTTTTTTGGGCTGGTAGGAGATTCCCCTCTACTTGCCATGAGTCCGATTCTACAGCGCGAGTTAAGGTTGTGTACGAGTTCTAGTGAAGGTTTTCTTTTCTCATATTATTCGTCCGAGTTTGCCACTTCAAGATTTTGAATGTGCCTTCCTAGATTATGTTATCGACTCCTCATTCATTCTCGTAGATCTTTCTTCGAATGCATGATCGACTATATCAAGAAGAAACAGGTCTGACGTAAGGAACTAAAAATGTACAGACGTAAAGATAAAGTTCGGGAGGTGACCGGCTTTGCTCAGTGCTCATGCAAATTTTTGTTTTGTTCACGGATAAATGCTTTATCCAGCAGCTCTTAATGGCAAAAAGAGACAGAAAGCAAAAGAGACGGGATCTACCGTTGTGAATTAATTCATCGATGTTCCAGTGCAACTCTTCCTGTCTTTGTCCTGTTCTTTGTGCACAAATCTGGTTGTTCCAGTTCAGCACAATAACATACCGACAGTTCTCCCGACTTGACCTCCAGTCTTTTGCCTCTCACAGCGAACTTGATCACACTGCGGGCTTTAAATGCAACTTTCCCTCCTTGTCGTATATGTAGAGCCAACGGTGGCTGCTCGTGCAGTTGACCAGATCTGAAGTACTGAAGTGGCCTTTGTGGAACAAAACTTCACTCTCGATCTGCATTCTGTAATTGCGATCTGTAAATTTGTTTCTACTGCAAGGAAGTGCATGGACAAGTTGTCGACAATGTTGCTCAGCAATATCAATCTTTCGAGATTTGTAATGAATAGCATGATGACTGAAATCTAGTCATACGAGCAGCATTGCAGGCAGGCACAAAGAATGTACTGTATATCCTGTAAAATTCTGAACCTCAGCCACGGTCTTGGAATCCCTTCAGCAAATAGAGAGTGATCGATGCGTCGTTGTGAACTGTATGCTGTATTGAGTGACAAACAGTAAAAGTAATTTACAAGCTTCCTTTTAATATATATTGTAATTCTCCTACGGAAGCTTACCGATAACGTGACAGATTTTGATTGTCTCCATCATTGAGAAGAATTTATGAGTAAGTTTGTCAGGATGGGTTTGAAGCTTGATTGGTAGAGGATAAGTTCGTTGAGAGTATCATAAGCATCGCGTAAAGCTAGATCCTCGAGTAGTCGAGCTAAATTCGAGATGCCATACCGGCGAGCAGTCAGTGCAAACGGTGAAGGAAATACGGGACATGAAAATCACAAACTGCACTCACTGCTCTGCTGGTGTACGTGTGTCACTCGGGTAATCAGTGCGTTCGTATGAGGAGCGGTCATGCAATTTTCAACGGGCTGACGGACTGACGGACTGGACTGGACTGGAATGCAGCAATCTGAATAGGGTAAGCCATACGCGCAAGTCCTAGGGATGCACATTGATTGCCGGCATATTCAAGTGGGTGACAGACGGCCCAGGCCCCATTGGGCCACCTATCCCATATGAACTACACTACATCCTCCAACTTGATGCGTTCCAACTCTTTGTGCGTGATCGAGAGATAGAGACAGAGCTGGACTGAACGCAAGTTCCTCACTGGATGTCACTGCACAGCATTAAATTCAGAACATATCTGAATAGAATATAAAGATATGGGTTCCTTTAGTTGTAACATAAAACAAAGAACTCTTTTTTTTTCTCTGACCTCTCGTGCAGCAGATTGTCCAGGTTCACATAATCATACTCGACAGTTGTGGAGGATCACGGAAGACAGGCACGGACTCACATCGAGGCATGAAGATTCTGAGAGTGGCCCGTTAGCGAGTTCAGAACCCACCGCTGGTCGCAGTTTTGCACGGTGAGTGAGTTCAATCCTTTTCAATACGAGGGAGATTCCAGTTCCTTTGATTGGCGAGGGACTTGTTAAGTCAATGTCGCAGGAACTTCAAGGGGGTCTCATGAACTCACTTCCAATCTCCTCCCATTTCATTTTCCAGCTCATCATCTCCCAAATACCATCAACGCTTTGACTTGTTCGATTTCCGCATTCACTTATGCCATCAATCCCTTACACGACCCAAACAAAAGTCACCTCTAGCCTCTCAGATATGATCGTCCAGCCTACCTACAAACACCTCTCCCCTCCCATACCATCCCATCAGCTTCTCTCCCTCAAAAACCAAACCTACAGAAGAAGATCAAGATGTCGAGAGAGGAAAGGAAATCGAGAGATCCCACAGCATCACGAGGTAGAATCCTCGAAAGCCGGATCTTGCCCCACCCCAGAACAGGCCATCTACTGACTCATTCCCATATTATAATCTCTATAGGAGGCAATCAAAGGAGTCCCTTTAGCATGGGAAACGAGAGACAAAAGGGACAAAACGGCCCCTTGACCCCACGACAGGAAAGCACTCCTCCGCTCGTATGCAGTAAAATTAAATATACGTTCCCCTTCGAGAAGAAAGGCCAGAACGAGAACTGGACCTCGCTGGACGAACAGCGAAACCTACGGCAGGAGAGAAAACAAAAGGTTCGATTGCCGTACATAAATACGCCCCTTGCAGATACGTACTACTGGACCTACCCACCGTCAGGATGGTGTCGGGGACCGGCTCATAGTCACTGAGAACGAGAAGAAAAACTTCCCATCCGTCGATCCGTCCAGGGCCCACATGGGTCAACCTTGCTTCGTCCGTTCGGATATGTTAGGTGCGGTGGGACATAATTTATTATTGTTATGCCTACTCTCTTTGGTATCATCTCGCAGCGACTTCATGGGATCTTCCCGTCCCTTTTCGCTATGTCACTGGAGAATGCTCCTTAACCGCGCGCCAACCAAGTCCCTATCGTTATGTAGTGTGGACCAAGTGGATAGAAATATAATTACATAAAGACCCCCATCGAGAATTACAAAGAAGAAACCAAGGATAACCAATGTCTTGGTCCCAATAATATCGCAGTGAGAAAAATGAGATACAGCACTTGCAATGTAAACTATCTCTAAGAAATTTCTTAACATAATGCTGTATCATAGACATATGCTAATTACTGTATTCAATCTATAAAGATAATTTATTTACAAACAGTATTATAGTTTTCACTCGAGAAATCGAAACATACCAACTAAGATAAACTACTTCAAAGGCTAGAAATATTAAAAAGTGGATTAGTTTGATGGACTAAGCGTAATATAGCAATTACTTAATTATAGTCTCTATTGAACTTTGTATCTTTTTTCAGGTGTACTCCAAAGATATTGAGGTCCATAGGCTTTCGAGTGTAATTGTAATCATAGCGTATTTACACTTATAAAAAATCGAGTGCGTTGGGATTAAAGAAAAATACTCGCTAAGCAATAAAAAAACAAAACTCCATCATCCTTGATCTACTAGAAGACTCTCATATCCTAGAGCATGGAACCAGAACGGCTGAGCCTGTTTCCGGTGATTCTTCTACTGCATAATTTCAGAGAACCTGGTAGCATGGTGCCACGTTGGAATATGGCTGGACGGCTCGCAGTCCTGTCCGAACTCAATCCAAGAAATAACGCTAATCAGAATTCGTCGCCTCTTATGGCCGACTCGAGGGTCGATGAGGTATGATGGAGCGAACGCAGGGGAAAACAAACCCGGTCGCTAACGACTGACCACTGATGAATCAAGTACCGAACGAGTACTGTCCGACGTGTGACTCACAGCAGCACGCTTGGAATGCTTCTCTCTGCAAAGCAATAAACAAGCGCCCATGGCAAGTCGCCCCATGAGCACACAACTTCCGAGAAGAAGACAACGAGAAGGCCATTGACTCGAGCTTGACTCGGACTCTGAGCGTGGCAGTGGATGCCACTTTCGGAGTTACTTGTGGAAGCATAAGCTAAGCAAAGCACAGCAAAGTGAAGTGAAGTGAGGTAAAGTAAGGTTTAAGGGAGTTAAAGTAAAGTAGGTCTGGAGACTGTGGTCTGGTGGCTGGTCATTCATGAGTTCGACATGACGAGCTGTCGTCCAGCTCTGGCGATCTCCACCCCGTCCAATACCGTCCATCCCAACCCATCCTCCTCGCCCACGTACGTGAGAACGTACGTGGTATCCCCATCATCCCTGCAGCGTTGGCATTTACGGTCTTCACACCTTTATTACTTACTGTACCTACTTTTAAGTTACCGTGGTTGTACTTCATCTGCTCACAGTGTTACCATGTGCGACCAATGCTCACCTTCCTTACACTGTGACATTCTCACGCATTCCATTAAAGTTCCTCTGTCACAAATATTTTTCGTCTTCTACGTCCTTCTCTTTTAATAATTTCTATCATCGTTCGCATTCCCAATCCTTCCATGTTTGTATAAAGTACTTGCTTGTTCATATTCTCCTTTATTCAATACGTTTTATTCTTGTTGATATTCCAGATATGAGTATTCCGCTTTCCTTTAGGATTTTTCACATGACTATCATAGACATTTCAAAAAGAAATTATGTTTGATACACCCTTTTGAGTATTGTGGGTTTACAATATATATATATGTCACCGCTGTTCCAGATAATTCACTATAGAAATAACATCTGGATCCTAGTCTGTAACCGATGTGTTCATGTTCTGTCCCTTTATAATTTTATTCACTTGCACGAAAACTTAATTGTGGATATACATATCCTAATTGTTTTTTTTCAATAATGAATTGCCGTGAATATTTCATTGTCAATAATGTTCATTGGTCCCAGAAAATATTCGTGACTTATTGAACATTACTGACAATGCGGCCGCGCAAATGCTCTGTCTAGCATCACGGTACACTTTAGAAGACGATATTGATTATTTTTTATTCTCTTTGTTTGTGTATAACGAGCAGGGTACTCATCGACTTTCCTGCAAATTCGGACCAGGAGGGCTCACCACGACGTCACGGAAACGCTTCATGCAGAAAAATAAAGATGTCCAGGCCTACAGATCCTTTATTTCGTATGGGAGAATCCTCGTTTCACCATTTTTTCTCCCTGACATGGTTCATTGGATACCGTATTATCGTATGTTCCATTTTCATTCCTGCACCATTTCATCCTCAACGAGCTGTAGAGCCATGTCACCCTTCTAATCGAGTTGATTTCTTTTAAAAAATTAGATTATGGAGTGCAGCTTTGCTTGATCCTTAGCCATGAGGGTACGATGAAAGGGAGAGAAAATGCAATGAATGTATATGCTGAATAAAGAAGAAACATACTATTTTTATCACACATTTATGAATCCAACTGGTGAAAGTATATGATTGAACACTGTAACGTTATGATTGTAGTTGTAAGAAAATAGTCTACAAGTTTGGAATTATAAAAGATATGCATATATGTTATCGTTGTTATGTTTCAATACTATTTTTATATTTACAAAATATATAAGAATCAGACTTTTTAGATATGTATCGTTATGAATTAAAATAATAATTATCAATATTCATAGTATTATTATTATTGTTGTTATTTATATTAGTAACTTCGGGAACTCCTTTCTCTACTTGTTCTCTAGCTCAAATGCTCTGATCTGAGCCAGACTGTTTGGGTAATTGCTTCTTCTGTAGGCCGCGCAGATAAACGTGAACAGAGGCAGCCGATGTAGACTATTGTCGTCTCGAAAGACTAAAGATCCCCCGTGCCAGGATGGTGGGGAAAGAAGAGGATGGTAATGTTGTTGGAGTACAGCGACTGTGGTTCCATGCAATATAGTTGCAGTGA